AGTGCCAGCCCCCCTGCCTCTTAGAGCCCCCCCCCTCAAACCCTCAGTACCTGCCCCACCCCACTCATCTAGCCCTGCACTGCCTCCCAGCCACCAGCTGAGCACTGCTGCCCAGGTTGCAACTGCTCGAAGGCTGCCATGCTGGGCTAAGCGCAGCCCTCCTTCCGTGCAGCAAACTGCTCTTCAGTGTCCAGGAGGAGACCCTGCCTCTGCCCGGTGCTGGTTGGCTGAGAGGTGGGGCAGCTAGCAGTTCACAGACTGGCACTAGTCCACAGACCAGCAGTTGGGAACCACTGCCTTACAATATGTGCTAACCACTTATGCTAAACTATCTGTTTGATCTTGTATTTAGTTGTGACATTCCTTAGGACTTTTCCCAGACTGAAGAAGAGCTTTGTGTAGCTCAAAAGCTTGTCTTGCCCACCAACAGAAGCTGGTCCAATACAAGATATTACCTCACTCACCTTGTCTTTTCAGTGTGGAACTGTTTCCCATTCCAAGTGGAGAAAAAAGATGGGGAGGTGTTTTTTGTGGGAGAAGGGTCAAGGAGAATGGGACAAGGTTGCTAGGGTGGGGTGGGGGGGGAATCTGAGAAAAAGCAGGAGTAAAGAAAGAATAACATTTACTGGGGGCAGTAGACAAGTCCGTTGCTAGACAGATACACACAAAAACCAGACACTGGCTAGAGAATGAAAACACAGAGGAAAAAGATGTGAGGTACCATTAAGTCACGTCATTCTGTAGGGCAAAATATGAGAAATGACAGTATCAGAGCACTGAAATGAAGGAAGAGGGAGAGAAGAAAAATCAATTCAGTCAGAAAACATGTCTGACTCCTGAGTCTGATGTATATTCTCAGGGTCCAATTGGATTATCACTGTTCCTTGATGCCACAACAGCTAGAAGAGGCGTTACAGATTCTGGTTCAACAAGCGACATCCTTTAAGCTGCCCAAAAATAATATTAGCACACACTGACAGTGAGGGACAGAGAAAAACTTTCAATGTGTGTATTTGACACCTACATATGATATTGAGAGATGCACTAATATCACATATATTTAGATCTGCAAGCAAAATCCAGTTAATTGTGCATTTAAATTTTGGCACAAAAACTAAACTTCCTGAATCATTAATTTTTAAATAGCAGAGAGAGAAAATAAGAAATATAATCATGAGTAAAAATGTTTTTAAATTTATTAGCATACAGTTGAGATATGCAGAGAAGATGCTCATAGCAACAGTGATAACATTAGGGCAGGAGCAGGCAAAATACAGCTCCGCCTGCAGCCCATCAAGCTTTTGGATCTGGGCCACAACCCACCAAAACTTTTGGGCAGACTCCCTGCCTGCCACAACTCCAGGCTGCTCAAAGCCACCAGCCGATGGGGTCATGTGTTCTAGGTGCTGTGTGCCCCTTTGCAGAGGGGGACTTCATGCACCGCCCCTGACCCCGGCACAATCATCACACCTCCCACTGGCTGGAAACTGGTCAATGGGAACTTCAGAGGATTGTGCCGGGGGCAAGGGTAGCGTGGGAAGTCTCCCCCACCCCCACCTGTCCCCCCAGGGCATGCAGCACCTGGAAGCACATAGCCCCAGCAGCAGACCACTTTGAGCAGTGTGTGGATGCAACAGGGAGCCTGCCTGAGAGTCTCGCTGGGCTGCTGGCCGAGAGCTGCTTAGGTAAGGACCTCTAGGCCAAAGCCTGAATCTGGCACTCAGTCCCTCCCTCCAGGCAATTACCTCCAATTTAGAAACTACGTTAAGGAGGAGGCAGTGGAGCTGTTTGAGGATAGCAGCAGTCATACTTACCTTTTGGAGGTGGGAGACATTCCTGGAGAAGAGTCCATGGTATTCACACCACCAGCTATATAAGTATCAACAGTGTGTATTATAGTAAATGTACTATAGGCCAGAAGAAATGTGTTAATGCCTCTCTAGTTAAATGCATGGAATAAGGGTCCCTGGTAGAACAATAACTAAAACTATGCCAAACATGCTCGGGGTGGCAAAAACCAAGGACTGGACAGGATTTTTGCAGTTCTTCCTCAGTTGCAATAGAACTAGTCCCTTGATTTCTGGGGGTTGTGGAGGAAGGGCAGGAGGAAGGACCCAAAACACTTGAGATTTTCTCACAGAAAATAACCCTGTTGCTTTTGAGAGCAAACACCTTGCACTTTTGAATTTTGAAATAGTCTTCATTCCAAATTGCCCAGTGCTGCCTGGCAGCCAGTTCCTGCCCCCTCTCTCCCCC